TAAAAATTATATAGCTAAGCACAATACAACTTTTAAATTTTGTGACCTCAAAGGACTTTTCAAAGAAGCACTAGAATTAATAACAGCGCAAAAATGGGAAAACTGTATTAAGCACGTGAAAGACAAAGTTGAAAAGAGAATGTGGGAACTGGACAATATTTTAGAGGAACAAGTCGAGCCATTCATTATTGACGTTGGTGCTTCAGGCAGTAGCGATGATGAAAGCTCATCAAGCTCATCTTTCCAATAAAAGATGTCGTTCATCAAATTCGGTAAGTTATAAGTAATTATGAAGCTACTGTATTTTTTAATTAATTATTGACATTTTTGAACCCATTTTGGTAAAACCTATTCAAGAATCTACTTTCTGACAATGTTCAACCATGCACATTTTTTTACGTTTTGAACGTTTTAATTTGGTTACATATTTACCTAGAAATCAGAAAATATACTAATCAATATTCTAAAAGCAATTTTAAGAGATTATTTTTAATTTAGGCTAATTTAAACGCCATTTTGAGATTATATTCGACTGTATTTCACCAAACATCAGGCAGCATCCGAAGCTGGAAATCGAAGCGAAAATTTTGAAACGCTTATGTATATTTACATCATTATATATTTCTTACCCCACCGCCACATGATCCTATATCCATCACCAATCGTATACACATCGAATTGTGCTAATTTACTACAAAGTTACGCAAAGCAGCATCTACTATCTAAAATATGTACTGCGTGACTCTTAATACATCCCTGCCGAATGTTACAGCGTTCGATGATCACATGGTCTTGTTTCTGTCCGGTCTATCTCTTATCTGAATATATACGTATTGTAGGTAGCTACCAGTGCGCGGCTAGTTCTTTCCGCGCTACTACAAGTGAGCATAAAGTGAATGCCAGCTAGTTCAAAGGTGATATTTTATAACAATATACATAATGTCAAACAAACCTACTAACCGTCATAGGAAGTCGATGAAATAACACTATTTAAGTTACGGCGTACGAGTGCAGGATAAGTCTAGCGTTGACGCATGACTCACCATTACCAATCACTCTCCTGTTCGCACGATCAGGAATGAAACCGAACACATTGAACGCGTGTCACGCTAGACGTCTATTCAATCGGTAACTTGTGCATCTACAAAATCGACAAGTTGCCATGCTTACCCTCGTTTCATCTCTATCGGCTCAAACGTATCAAATTCTATTTACAATGTCATTGCTGGCACTTTGAGTTGTTGCGGTGCATTCTTGCTTCATCGTTTCTGACATGTATGTACATACAGGTATAATTGATGACCTATAAAATTTCAGAGACAGATATAATAAAAAAATGGTAAAGAATAGATTTACATACAGTGCTCTTCGAATCTGAACAGGTCAGATCTAGATGAAATTTTCACACAAGAGCTGTTACTCCGAGTTACTCAGAGTAACTCAGCGGGGTCACTAGAATGGAGCTATGGTAACTACTATGCCAATAACGAACAGGCTTTGTAGTTTTTGAAAATCGATTCAGTGGAGGCGGACAGTAGGGGCAAGTATGATGGTGTTTTTGATGTTTTCGAGGCTCCTGGTCGTTTTCGAAAAAAAATTTAGAGGTTGAACATTGGGGGTTGTGGGTTGCAGGGAGTGCGGAAGGGTGTATCTCAATTGTTTTGACGCCTCCAGCCCCAGTAATTTTACACACCTATTAGACATATTCCACTTCATACAAATCCCCTTAAGGGTGTCTTAATAAGAGCGCCGGATTTGATTTTCAAGAAAAACACCATTTCTTTTCGAATTAACATGAAATAGGACATCCGGTAAATGGCCACCACCAAACCTCTGCGACAGGTCTTTTCTTTAAATTCTGTATAACGTTTTTGCACAACTGTGGCTCTATTTCGTCGATAACGGATCTCTTCTTTAAGGCGTTCAGCTGTTTGTGGCTTGTTCGCATACACCTTTTCCTTAACATAGCCCCAAAGGAAGACGTCCATTGGCGTTAGATCGCACGATCTTGGTGGCCAATTTTGATCGCCAAACCGAGATATGACACGGTCTGGAAACTTGGTCCGCAGTAACACCATTGTTTCGCGTGCTGTGTGGCAGGTCGCACCGTCTTGTTGGAGGAACATATCCTCCACATCGATTCGATCCAACTGGGGCCGCAAAAACTCGGTTCACATTTCGCGATACCGCACACCATCAACAGTTGCCGCACTTCCACCTGCATTTTCGAAGAAATACGGACCAACCACTCCGCCACTCCACAAGCACACCAAACGGTAACTCTCGGCGAATTCATTGGTTGTTCGATTATTACACGATGGTTTTCAGAACCCCAAATTCGACGGTTCTGCTTAATGAGGTACCCGTTCGGTTAAAAATTTGCCTCATCAGAGAAAATGATTTTCTTCATTTAGCGCATTATTGCGACCGAAAATTGTACGTGAGTTTTCACAATAATTAAACGTTGCTCGTTTGAATACTGCTCCATTACGTATAATCGCGTGGTATGGACAGTATGGACAGCTGTCATCAAGTAAACACACCATTTGTGCAAAAAAGATGGCGGCAAAGTTAAATCCGGCACTCTTGTTGAGACACCCTTCATATAACCTTAAAATATCTCCAACAGTCGCGTGTCGATGCTGGGTCGCAGTCAGCAGTCGGTTCCGTGCTGCTGTGGTCTGTATGCTATAAAAATCAATGTCGTCATCCATGAGGGATTTTTTATAGCAACGATTATGTAGGCCAGCACGAAATTCTCTCAGCGGGAGGAGGAAGTCTAACTTGTGGCAAACATACAAGGGATGTCTTTTATCTTTTGCATATGGAAATAAAACAACACGGTAGGTAGTTTTAAATGAAGAAGATTAATACACATCTGCATGCGCTTGAACCAATTTTCGAAGCACTTATTCCACTTGTTTGCTGGGAGATCCAAAACGGCATTTTTGAATGCGTCAACTGCTTCTTCTGGTGACTGGAACCTTTGACCACGCAGTCTGTTTTTATTTTTTGGGAAAGTAAGAAAATCATTAGGACTTAGATCGACTATATGGAGGATGGTCCAATAATTCCACGTTTTCTTCCGTTAAATACTGCCTTATTTTTTGGGCTGTGTGCGAGCTTGCATTGTCTTAGTGGAGGATGATTCTCCCTTCGGGGTTGATTTTTCGAAGCTCGGTGATATGTTTTGGCAAACAAATGTCGCGACAATCGTTTTCGAAACACTTCGAAAACGGATGACTTTTTTTTGTTTTTCTTCACCTTGGAACACCCAAACAGCCGACTGTCGTTTATTTTCTGGTTCATAACAGTAAATCCACGATTTATCACCACTAACAATGCTGTACACATTTTTTGAGTTTCCGAAATTGAAACGGTCAAGCGTTTTTTGACACCAATTAAACCTGACTGCTTTCTGCTCTTCAGTCAACAGGTGGGGTATCCAAAGTGAAACTAATTTTCTTACTCCTAACTCTTCATGTAAAATTTTTTTAATTGAGGTCTTTCAGATCTCCAAGGACGCCTCAATCTCGCGATATGTCACATGTCTATCTTCAATGATGAGTTTGCGTACAGCATCGACGTTTTCCTGGGTGACTGCCGTTTTTGTTGCACCCACCCTGGGATCGTCGCTAAGACTCACCCGTCCACGTTTGAATTCTCCATACCAACGGGAAATTGTCGACTGATGTGGCACTTCGTTGTAGAAAACAGACAGTAACTCAGCAAGGCATTCTTGTTGCGATAATTGTCTCTGAAAGTTGTAATAAATTATGGCGCGAAAATGTTCTCGGTTGAGTTCCATTTCTCTAATGACTTGGTGACACTTAAAAATTCACTGTAGTGAGAACACTGCACGCATTGTTGTGAAACTTTGAATTTAAGTTTACTAAAGAGTGAGGTTAAGATTTAGTACTGACGTTCGATCCTCTGTTTCTATATGTAAAACTTAAAAGACATCCGTAATCCTTTACAAGTGACAGCACAGTGACGAACAATGACAAGAATCGCAAAAATAAATGTCAAAACGAGAACACCAATTTGCGTCCGGTATTCTCACGCGACAAATCTCGAATGCGAGATTCGAGAACGGTCCTCCACGAACATGACTGGCAGCCCGTCGCTTAGATTTCGCTCCGTCGCCATAGTATATGCAGCGATGACTCGGCTTGGCTTGGCGTCTGATAGCTTAGCCGAACCTCAGAGGACTCCAGCTAGTTATATTACCTCGCCGTAATCCCTTGTCTCACTGCAGGAGGAGCCTTCATCACTTTAATCAGCTTCAGAAAATATTAACGTCACATAGCCGCGATGTCAGGGAGACGGAGGAAGGATATTACCATCTTAATAAATGGAGGTAGCGTAATTTGACATTTTGTTTTTCCAAGGAAAAATCTTTGAATTCCAGATAGCAGGTCATTAGATATTTTTAACCGCAAATAGTACTATGTGTATGAAGACATATTTCTGTCTAAACGTTTTCTAAGACAAGGTTTTTTGGGTTTTTGAATCATTCTAAACAAAATAGGTCTTTAGAAAGTTGACCGTGTTCGAGTTATACAAAACCTCAGAAATGAGAATTCTCAATGCTTAGAATCTAGGATAATTAATAACAATTTTATTTTTGGTGATTGCCAAGTATTATATTTTGGACGCTAACCGTTTAAGCGTTTTAGAACACTTTTATCCTCGTGTTGCCTGCATCTCTTTTTATTTCCTACTCCACTGGAGCGAAGCCATTTTAATCACAAGAAATTTCCAAAGTGAGTTATGTTTCTTGGATGTTATATGACATGCACATCACGAAAAACCATGTCACTCATTTCCGTCAGTCAAAACTAAACGGAAATACTGTCGATGGACAGAAGATATGGATTATGCAATTAATGCATACAAATTAAACCAGTGTGGTTTTAATGGGTGCTGCAGACGTTATAACATTCCAAAGCCGACTTTTAGAAGACACTTGCGCTCCTTAAATAAAAAGGCAAATGAAAATGTTGTCTTTGGATCGGCACACAACCTCAAGTCCTGAGGTTGAAATAGAATTAGCAAAACATATTGGAAAGTTGGAAGAAAGATTTTTTGGGGTAACGATTTGTGATTTTCGACAATTCGCTTTCCAAAAAACTGTTCGGAATGATACTACACACCGTGTTAATATCAGCAAAGAAATGGCGGGAAAAGGATGGTATTATTCTTCCTTGAACCGACATCCTAAACTGTCACTTAGACTACCAGAGAAAATCTCCATGGCTAGAGCAACTAGATTCAACCAAAAAAACGTCAATAAGTTTTTCGACATTTTAGTAGAATGTGTTGATGAAAACGGTTTCACGGCTCAAACCATTTATAATGTTGATCAAAGTGGAATTTCAACTGTTCGGAAACGAAATCAAAAGATAATTGTAAGTAAAGCAAAACACCAAGTTGGAGGTATAAAAAGTGGTGAAAGGGACGTAAACACTGTGTCGTTTGTGCCAGTGCTGCCGGTCAAACTGTACACTCATGATCATTTTTGAGAGAAAACGTATGGTTCCAGAGCTAACCATAGGTGCAACATCTGGCACTATTACTACACTTTCAGATAATGGATATAACAATAGCGAACTTTTTGTTAAACCGTTACAGCACTTCATTGAGTACGTAAAACCAAGTACTGTATTTTCTGAGGCAGATTTTATCGATACTAGCGTCTTTCTTGAAAATAAAGCAGAAAAAGGAAGTGAGGATTTAGGGGCAGAAAATTCACGTGAAATGTCTCCTGAGCCTGTAGACGATGCTACTGAGCCACCACTTAAAATAAATAGTAACGAACAAAATAAAAATTGCAACACAACGGATCTCAATACCTCTATTGAAGAAATTTACAATCTAACGAGGAAAAAAGTGACGCTAAGAAAATAAAATTGTCTCAAGCAGCCGTCATTCTAAGCAGCACGCCCTATAAGGACGAATTAGAGAGCAAACGTAATCAAAGGCAAAACCCAACCAAACAAGAAAAAAATCTTGGGCTTTCTTCTCCTTCCATTTCTGAAGCACGTGATGATCAATCTTCCACTTCAAAATCTGCTGAAGTAAATGCTTAAATTGAATATGAACCTGTTCGCTGTTACCATTTGCAAACCTTTTTATTTTTGTATTTTATTTTGCTCAAGATGTTTCATTTAGCTAAATTTTTGATTAATACGAAGATAAATGTTTATTTTTGCTTGTGTACTAATATTATTATTAAATAGTTTAATTTCTGAGTGCAGTGGTCAAAAATTTAAAAATCTGTATGATTTACTACTTTATCCTATACACCTTCGGAAAAATCATTATTATACATTATGATGAGGAAGAGAGATGGAAATATACAAAAGTATGTAGGTGCGTGAAAGACACTCGATTGTAGGATCCTATCTGGCAGCGTCGGAGTGTGACGGACAACGGGGTAAAGTAGAAGAGTGATAAAAGAGAGATGGCAGAACGGGCGCTGGCGCCTGCCGCTTAGACGGATGCGCTCAACAAATGCGATTTGTTTCTCCCATTCGCAGAGTTGCCTATACCAATATGTCATATTTCTAAGAAATCTAAGTCTACCCAAATTTCGGGAAAAATAGCTGCGGATTCCACATAAGAGTATTCCAAAAATGAAAAAAGTTCAAACTATTAAAATTGTATTAATGTTTCATGGTTCAAATCATATTTTTCATGTTTGTATATTGATGTATAAATGATTTTGTAATCCCTATTCTTGTTGCCAGTAGAGATACAACAGTATTGAGAGAAATCATGGACCGCTAGATAGGGCTACAACTACCATATGACTATCAAATAGTAGTGATAAACAGGGTTTGTTTATAGCACAGTTGCCTGGTGTGGCGAATTTGCGCCATAGGGGCGATCTGACAACTTTGATGGACAACTATAACGGGTACTATGGTGCCCGGTATTCGGGAATCTGGCAATACCTGATGAATCCTAACGTTTATTACGCCAGATTGTTTGCTGACTTGCGCAGTACAACATGACAATCAACGTGACTGAGCACCTGTTATATTTAAAGAGCTTGGGGCAGTTAGGTATCTAGGTCACATTTTTTAATGTATTTCGAGAGATCCGTAATGTTAAGTAAATACTAGATCACGTTTCTACAATAGTCGTACATTTTGAGAAACAGAGATTTGGTGACGACAAAATCGTAAAAATATAACGCATTTTCGTAAAATAATTTCTTTGTTGAAAAGACTGTGGCTTGATGACCCGTTGAACGAGTATAGTGTCCCGCTCCGCTTTGAATATTCGAAACACTATACTCCAGCAGCATTCAGCTGCAATGTTATCTTTATGAAGTTCTAACGTCTAGGCCATGCTGATTAAAAGCTTGAATGAATCAACACTTAACTCTAAATTCCCCACAATTCGGGAAGCTCTACTCAAATTGGCGACACAGCGTATCTACCTATTATTCTCATTCGTGATACAGGTCTGCGGTCTGCTGCAAATTTCAGTATGCGTTGAGCCGACAGAAGAAGTACAGTAGATGCGCGCATTACGCACCAGTTCGATTGGACGTCCTGTGAACCGATTTCGGTGATTTCGATATTTCACGAAATCACCTAAATCACTCTACTTATTTTTATGAATGGATAATTGGTTTTATAGCAATATAGGTTGCGTCTCATAACAAAAATAAGAAGATACCCACTCGAACAAAAAATAGTACACTCTTAAAAATGTGTAACGAAAATAAAAAGATATTCTAACAAAAAAATGAGGCGGTTATAAAACTCCTGACGAACTCTCAAGAGGGTAGAAGGCTGTATTTGCCCGAGCGCTGCAACGATTTTCACCTGTAGGTTATGCAAATTGCCTGCTCTCTCACTGAAAGTGTAAACAGTACTTTTCACATAACCCCACAAGAAAAAATCATTGGGCGCTAGATCGGGTGATCTAGGAGGCCATTTTATTGTTCCGTTACCGCCAATAATCCGGTGACCGAACACACTTTCAAGGTAACTGTGTACGATCGACGCATTGTGCGCCGGGCATCCATCTTGTTGGAACCAAATATTAGCGAGATCAATGCCAAGCTGCCTAATTGCAGGAACAATCTGCGTCTGTAGTAACGCCAAATATTTTGCAGCCGTAAGAGTTCCATCAATAAAGAACGGTCCGATAATGTTATTACCTAGAATTCCTGCTCACACATTCAGTTTCTGTGGATACTGCGTGCGGACGGGAATACTGAGGTGTTTCTTTTCCCGAGACCAATACCGAACGACTGAAGGATTGTGATGACCGTGGAGAGGGAATGTGGATTCATCAGTAAACAAAATGTTACCAATAAAACTTCCATCCCTGTTCGGCTTCTCCATGACCGTTTCACAAAACTCCATTCGACGGTATTTGTCTAAAGGAAATATTTCTTGAACCGTTCCAACCTTGAAGCTATGATAGCCGTTGCGATGCAAAATATTTCTTGTTGTTCTGAGTGTGAGATCGGCTATTGGTACCATTTCAGCAATTTTTCTGCTTGAGCATGGCTCAGATACTTCTGCAGCGGCACAAACAGCAGTTTCGATCTCCTCCCTTTTCTCGCTAATTTTTGGTTTCTAACCCTTTCGTAGGTATTTATAACCGTTGCGTGAGACGGAATTGGCCGATCTGGGAAGCGTACCGCAAATAATTCAACAACCGCGCGTGCTGAATTATTCTGGATGTACCATTCTATCATTCGAAACTTTTCTTCTTGCGAGTACATTTTTAAGATATTTTGGATTAAATAAACATGCACCTTTCCTACACAAAAAGTGAAGCGTCGATCTACTCCCCATTTTTGAAGAATTTATCTAAAGGTATAGGTTTATACTGGAATCTGACACTTTGGGCAAACAACGTCAACCAATGTATCAGTTATGCTTTTTCGTCAGCATAGTAAAATCACAGGCTTCGTAAAATAATAACGTATCGAAAATTCAGATTCGTTGAATTTATGAACAAGTGGGAACTTTTAGCTTATAAATTATAACAGCGAGTGAAGGACGGAGAGTTGGCAAAGTTGCAAAGTGGATCCCGAATAGATTTATCGCCCGAATCTCAGCTAATTTTGACGAACAACGGGAAAACGTGCTAGTGGTCATGTAATAACGGCCATCTGTGTGAAATACTTTGCCACCAATAAATCTGCAGGCAAAGTGGCAACTCTCAAAGTTCTGTGCTGAAACTTTGTTTATTATTATGCATCTCCTGGATATGACATTCAAATATAAAGGCAGATCAACTTAGTTGAGCACAATGCTGCAGGGACCGGGGCCATATCCCAATGGAAATGTTTTACATGGTACTGAAATGGTAACGATTGTAAGTGCAAAATTCAAGTGTACAAAAGTTTCCATTCACATAAAATTAGCTTAGTATTATATACGGTCAAAAACTATACACAGTTCTTCAAAAACATAGGGCAATAGTTCAAGGGTCAAATCTCAGGGTTATTCTAAAACTTCTTTATCCTTTGACCATTTCCTGAAGAAGAATTTAAGTGCAAAGATCAAACAAGTCCTGCCCGAACCATCCAACGTTTTCAGTATGTTTAAGTTAAAAACTCACAATTACAAGTATCCATGGTGGAGTTGCTGGGTATGACTAAGTAAGCAATAACCCTGTAATGTTCGGCATATGTCTGCAATTTTGGACCAGCAAGACTAAATCTTGTATTCTAGAGATTGACCTGGTCACTTGAAAATGTTTTCCAACATAATGAAGTTTCAAAAGTGGTTTTTCTAATACAAAATTTTTGCGTACGCATCTCTGAAACGAGACCATATTTAGAAAATTGTCACTGTTGAGATAGATAAAAATAGAAATAGAATAAAATTAGCTCCCGTTTAAAAATGTTATTTACATAATGAAGATACAGATATTCTCCGCAACAAATATTTAAGGAACCTATTCTTATGCGTCCTCTGAATGAAAAATGTAATACCTTGGCAACTCTCACAAACGTCAAAGAGCCATTATACATCTTGCAAAGTATCTGGCAAACAGATTAACAATAAGATAAAAGGTTTGTTTGAACATAGGTGCTTCGATTTCAAAATATTATTTGCTAAAGGTATAAATAGTTTTAAAATTATTTTATTGGACCCTGTTTAATTCCTATGTAACCCTATAGAGTCAATCTACTTGATGCTATTTCAGTAGATATAATTTTTGCTGCTCGCTTAACAAGTTTTTGTAGACCATACATATTTTCTGTGTAAAATTAGATTTACTGTTTACTACCTTCATGATATATATATATATATATATATATATATATATATATATATATATATATATACAGGGTGACTTCGAAGTTGAGTCATTTATTTTAACAGTGAGTAGATCTGATCAAAAGAAATGTTTTTTCCTTTACCATTTTTCTGGTAAAATTAAAGTAACAAAGTTATAGCCCTTTGGAAGCCCTGTCTCAATAATAATATTATGTGCTCGTGTTTGGCAACAACGGATATAATCCGCCTTATCGGTTCATCGC